CAGGTTTGAGATAAATCAATGTCCTGTGATCTCAGCCAGAGCTGAAACCGCTGCAGAGTGAAATTCCAGGTAAGTTATCCGTCATTAGAAGGTTCCAGTGACTCTGGTGGAAGGCACAGTGATGTTCCATTATTAGCCATGTCTTTGTTTCCTCCCTAATAGGTAACTTTGTTTTACAGGTGGATGTATTTGGCCAACAAAGGAGATGAAGATGGAGCCCTTTGTAGAAGAGGTGATTTGAGGCATTTGAGCAAGCAGAGACTACTGGGACAGTGCTGGGGATCTGCACTGGGCTCAGAGTCCAGGACCTGCCATCATCCCATGCACCTCATCCACTGCAACTTGTTGGATTTCCTGGGATCCATCTGGATGGGCAGCCAGAGGTGGAGGCTGCAGGAACTTCTGCTGCTGAAGCACCTGATGTGCAACTCACCCTCCAGGCTGACATCTCTGGCAGCAGCCACAACACTTGGAAGTTCTTCACACTGATGGAATTTGGATCCTTTATGAGCCCTTTGCCCCCCTTTTTCCCTTTTTATTTTTGCCCCCAGAGAGATGAACCCAAACCTTGGGTGGTAAGGGAAGCTGGCAGTTCCCAGATCACATCAGGAAGCTTCAAGAACACCACGATATCTCCAGTTCCTTAACAGCTAGAACACATGGCAATGATCTATGGGTTTCATACCATTTTCATTTCTTCTCTTGAGCATCTCCCCTTTGACAAGAAGACTCAATAAACCCTAAATTCTGAACCCAGCCACTATTCTTTCAAACTCAGTAATACCTGATGGCAAGCGGTCTGTGGCCAATCCCAAACGGATTCACACTTGGAATTTGACCAATGCCTTCAGCATTCCTCTCTCAGAACCAGAATTTCAGACCAGGGTGGGGCTCGTTTTGTTGAGCCAGGAGCTGATTCTGAAGCTGTTTCCACCCCTTGATACGGCAGAAGGAACCAGCACCGTCCTCCCAAGAGCAGCGCGAGGGAAGTCAATCGCTACCATGGCAACCGATGTGCCAAATTACTGCTCTTCTGCAATCAGGGCCGATCACAACGATTTCCCATTCCCTTCAGGTCAGTGGGCTTGGCAATGCTGGGACAACCACAAGATTCAACAGCAAAACCCTCTGTCAGACCACGGTTGGTTTGACTATTCCCTCTCCTTCCCCCCAGTCCATCGCTGTCCAGTGTCACTGAGGTTGGACCAGGATCCTGCTAGCTGAAATTTTGAGGGCATTTTTGCCTCTCTGCCTGTATTTTTTCACCATGAAGCATCAGAGTACAATGCCTGGTTCCTGCATTCCCTCTGAAAGAGCTTTTTCCACCACCTGAGGGGGGTTTTGTTGCGTTCAGGGGGGGCGCGTGGATCGTGTAAGACGAGAAATACACATTTTACGTGATGAAAAGAAAGCAGCAGCAGCAGCAAGCACAGGGCAAGCTCCACGATTCTTCAACCAAAGGAAGAGAAAAAGGAGTGATGAGATGAACACAAATGCTGCTGAGATGGTAGATCACCCCTCCCTGTCGGTGGTGGCGGCACCGCCGTGATTCCTAACTCAATCAGGGCTGGAAACAGATGCCCGGTAGCCTAATGTGGAACAAGCAAACAGCCCCTGACCAGACCACTCAACATTTGTGTCCCAAAATTTCCCAAAGAAGGAGTTAATCAAATTAAAAGATAATGTCATAACATACTTAGCCTTTGGAACACAGCGACAAGGCAATAAATCACACAAAACGCAACTGCAAACATTAATCTGAGGGGAAAAGGCCGTTACCTTGAAAGCACCATCCATCTCTGACCATTTCCAAGAGCTTTCCTGAGCACTTAGAAGTCAAAACATGTTTTAGCTACCATGAGTAACAAAAAGCAGCTCCAAGAAAGATGCCTCCTTTAAGTGACTGAGTCACAGAGTTGTTTGGGTAGAAGGGACTTAAAAGTTCATCCAGTGCTACCCCCTGCCACGGGCAGGGACACCTTCCACCAGCCCAGGTTGCTCCAAGCCCCGTCCAACCTGGCCTTGGGCACTTCCAGGGATCCAGGGGCAGCCACAGCTTCTCTGGGCAACCTGTGCCAGGGCCTGCCCACCCTCCTAGGGTAGAAACAAGGAACTAATTCCTTCTCCTCCACTGACATTCCAAGGCAGAAAGTGCTGGACTGAACCCTGAACAACCACTGCAATCAAAAGAACATTTACAGAAATATAATTCTGGTACAAATGGGTTTCTCAAAGCCACGAAACAGCTTTTTTTTTGTCATCGTGAGAGATGCAACAACTATAAAATGTGGGCCAATTTCTGCTTCCACCTCGACAGATTTAATTAATTTTTAGCCACCTACACTCTCTTTCCTCCAAACAACAAATGTAATTTTAAAAAAAAAAAAATTATACCAAGCTTTAAAACTTTACCACGTCCTTGCTATTAAAACTTCCCTCAAAAGACACTCAGCACCTTGATGTTCTCTCTTTTTCCTCGAAGTTGGAACGTCGGGAGTGCGTCACCCCACACACACACTGACTCACCCTGGAGATGTCACAACCAATCCTCCCCCCTAAGAGCACGAGAGGCCACTGGTGGCACCGTGGTTGCTCAGGAAACCACCTCCCTGGAATGTGCTGAAATTTGCCTGAAGCCTTAAAATAAACATTTTGGTATTGGGCAAAACTTCGCCTCTCTCGGCATCATCTCCAACTGAAATCGTCACTCCTGGGTGCAGAGCAGATAATGTTCTCTTTTCTTTGCTAGTTAGGGGGTTTTAAAACTGCCTTTAAGCATATAATTAATTATATTTCTTGTCAGGGATCGTGTTACAAACCACTCCACCTCCACTGCCAGGCAGACCTCCAGCCTAATCTTCTTCCTTCTTTCAACTCACGCCATCATTCCAGGAGATGCTCAGGGTTTAGCTCTGTGTGCTAATCCTCCACAGGACACACATGTTTTAGAAGGGGTTAGAGTAAGTCTAACACTGAAGAAAATGAGCTGTATTTCCTTGGAAAACGGACTGCAGGCAGTGCCTGAAGCTTTGCCATGATCCAAGGTAGGACTCAGCCCCTCTTCCTCCACCAGGAGCTGGACCCTACACCCAGACTCAAAGTCCTTTGGTCCCTACAAGTTTTCCACATCGTTGTTCTTTCTTTTCTTCTTCACACAAGGATCCCCCCCACCCCCAAGCCACCTGCTTCCCTCCAAGGTCTCATCTCCTGAGCTCCTTCAATCCAACCTTCCAGCCCAGCAAAACCTCCAGCCACCTCCACAGCAGGATCCATAGATCCAGGCAGATTCCTTCCAGGAACAGCTTCAGAAACCCTTCCCAAACCTATTCCTCCCTATTCCAAGTAGACTTGGGGACATGGCTTAGTGGTGGCCTTAGCAGAGTTGGGTTTATGGCTGAACTTGATGATTTTAAAGGTCTTTTCCAACCTAAATGGTTCCCTGACTCCCCTGTGACAACCCCCCCGCTGTCACTTTTCCCCCTTCCTCAACGACGCTTCATGTTCCTTTAATGACACTTCAAGGCAGTACAAAACTCCCCTTTTCCTCTCAGATCACTCCACTGTCAGCAAGAGGAAATCAGACAGCAAAAAAAAAAAAAAAAAAGAAATAGAAATTAAAGAAATTGCAGATCCCACTGCCAGAGCCCATCCCTGGGCTTGGCAGGAGTCCTGCCCTTCCAAGCTGGGGCAGAGGGAGACGCACGTGCAAGGCTTTGGAATTGATGCTTTTCAAGCCAAACTTACAATTTAATTATAATTCTCTGTGGATGCAATCCTAATAAGTTTATAATTATTAACAATTATAAACATGAGAGCAGAAGCCATTCAGTTAGGAAGAAAGGGCTGCACCAGCACAATTTTAATTGTAATTCATGGTGATTGCAAAGGGAGCAGCACTTTTCAAGGCAACTGTGGCCTCAAAGGAGGCACTGCCAAGCACGGGGACTGTCTTTTTATTTCCTAAGACAACTCCTCTTTCAGACCCAATACATTAAAGAAAGCCCACATTCCAAATTTGGACACCATTCAATTAATCCCTCCAATTTTGGGTGCTCCTCAAGTCCACCAGCCACAGGAATTACCACCCTGCTTCCACACAGCCGCTTATCAGCATGACCTGGGCTACCGTAGCTGCAGATTTCAGAGGCAGGTGTCCCACATTTCCACACCATTTCCACACACCCAACACCCCTTCAGCCCATCCAAAGCCTGTCGTGACCGTGGGTCCCCCTGGCTCGGAACGGGGAGGGAAAATTCACCGCAAAAACCCACCCAAACACTTCGCTGCTGCTTTCCAGCCCTCCCCCCAGGTTGCCACTTCCAAGTTAGGAAGAAGCTGGGAACTGATCCTGAGATTCCAGGCCCTCACTCACACATCTGCTGGGTCTGCCCGGGCTCGGGGTGGGGAGATTTCAGCAGCGCCCGCCCGAGCCAGCGGGTGGGAACGGGGTTAAGCCAGGAAGGGACATGACCCACTTCTATTTATGTTTCAACCAGAGGCCTCGAGCAAGATGAATACTTTCAGAGCAACTACTACAGGATGCATAAATCAAACAGTGTTTCTTTAAAAAAATTAAATAATAGTAAAAAAAAAAAAAAAATAACAACACCACTCCCACCACCCCCAATATTCCCGGCTGCAGGTCCTGAGGTTTTGCTTTTTTAGCTGAGATTTAATGATATTTCTGAAATGCAGGGTTTATTGAAGCCCCTTCTGCAGAGCAGCATTAAAAATTAAATTTAAAGCAGCGAGTTTACTGGCTCTTTTTTTTATCCTCCCTAAATTATTCCGAGGGGAGAGCGGCCACACGCAGAACGGAGAGAAACGAACGTGAAAGGGGCAACAATTCGGAATTAACGCTTGTTCAGGTTTCCAAGCCAGTGAAAATGGGCTGGGGAAGGTCCAACCGACCATCTAGGCGAAGTGATCTTTAAAAAACCCTTCTGGTTGGGGTTGCCTGCTCTCCCCTGTTCCCGCAGAGCCTTCGCGAGGGGCTTACCGGGGCAGAAAGCATCAACGTCCAACTTCTGGGCTGCGGAGAGGGTTGGGGAGCCAAGCTCAGACTCTGGGATTCGAGGGCTCTCCACAAACTTTGCCTTCCTCAAAGGGGCTAAAGGAGAAGGAGGGGGGAGAGAGAAAGAGAGGTCATGAGTAAGGGAAATAGCAAGCAACAGATGGAAGCACTTAACTAAACGACACTGTCAGACTCATATCAGGTTACTCTTTTTTTTTTTCTTTTTTTTTTTTTTTTTTTTTTTTGCCAGGAAAAAAAATAAAAAATTATCTGCATTCTTCACAAAGGAGATGGCTCTTGGTTAAACTTTCAAACTGCACAGGCTGACTTGAAAGTGTGTGAGCACCGAGGCACATTCCTGATACTCTAAAACACTTCCTTTTCTCTCCTACTTTATTAATTTTTTTTTTTTATAGGAAGCAAATGAGCCTGGATTCAGCAGCTGCAGAAAAGCAAAGATCACAGAGAGAGGTACACAGAGCCCCATCAGGGTTCAGGATATTTAACTCTAAATATCTGAACTGAACACACAAATGCTGTGTTCAGTAATTGTTTCCTTTCACGTGTAATTGCGATTTCAAAACGTTCTCAGTGTTGGAACAAACAGGTTTGGTGTTCAGCACAAAAGAGCAGAGCAACGCTAATGCTGCCCAAGCCAAAAAACAAGCACTCCACTTTTATCCCTTGCAAATCTAGAGGAGATCAAGAGACTTAATAAAGACCAAGGAAAAGGTAAAAAAAAAAAGTGTCTGTAACAAAGCAGTATTGACCACTAGTAACAGAAAAATGGGATTTTCCACATGTTTTAACAGCCTGGACTCTAAAAGACATGAAATTCTGCACAACATTTGTTTGGGATAAAAGTAACTAAAATAAAAGTGGTTTAGTAAAAGTCTTTAAACACGCTCCTGCCAGACCAGAGAAACAGAACCAGAGAATAAGTTCTATGCAGAGATTATTATATTGCATTTCCAAGTGAAACTCTCGTGCCCATTACAGTGAAAGGCTAATGTGAGAAGCCACTCAGCAGCAGTTTTGGGGGGTCAGCAGCTTCTGCCCCTCCATTTACATAAATTACACTTACAGTTCTCTGTCCCACAAATTAAATTTGGGCTCTGAAACCAAAGATGGGGAGGGGGGGGTTGTTCTTGTGCATCTCCTGCAATAAAAGCTCAACGGGGCAGGGAATGACCTCAGAGGCAGCAATAAATCTGTGCCAGATCCCGATGCAAGGAAAACATTTGAATATCAAGATCACTGCCATAGCCCAAAAACTGTTTAGAATAATAACCCTGCAGAGGCCAATCCTGCAATATTTCGTTTGTAACTGCAATTTTAATGAATATGGTTATTTCAAATGTTTTGCCACGGCCCCCCAGTAACAGTCATTTTTTATAACATATATTAGGAATAGCCCATCTTTTCTTTATTTGTCATTTCTGGCTGTTCCCAGGACCACACATCTCCCCCCTGCAAACGTGGCTGGGCTCTGAAACACCAAACCAGCAGAGTTTTCACAGTCCAGCAGATGTCAATGGCTGTGATGGGACTGTCACCAGAAGGCTCTGCTCTACAGTTTATTGCAAAACTAGAGGAAGATGAATTTTAATAAACATTTAATAAAACAAAGAGAAGGGGGTGGTGCCACCACACCACTTGCTATGTGGACACACAAGTCCAGAAAGGGCAGGACCTGCACCTTTGGGGATATCCAGCACTGAACGGGTTGGTTCCCCCCTGTAAGGGATCGATCAGCGTGGGTTTTATTTCTGCATCTCCTCTGGATCTCCTTTTACCCCTCATCGAGGGGCCCATCCCATTAATTCCTGCCTTCTCCACAGAACTGACTGATGACAGCAGAACAGATCAGCTCATGGACTCACTGTGCTGCAACTTCAGGCAAAACCATCTTTTTATTGTGTTTCAGAGAATGGGTTGAGTTGGAAGGACCTCAAAGACCACCCAATTCCACCACCCACACCTTCCACTACACCAGGATGCTCCAAGCCCCGTCCAAGTTGCACCTATTTTATATTTTCATTCCCTAAAAAGCATGGCTTTAGCCTTAAAAAACGTGTTTCCACCAGCCAAGACACACCTTGTAAACATGACTCACACACAACAGTTCACCTGAAAAAGGCTCAAGTCAATTCAATCCTCCCTGCCCAGCTGCAGGTTGGGAAAAGCCACAAGAGCAAAAGACTCTGTTATTTCAAATATCCTGAACCTGCAAAAGGCAAAAAACTCCTCCTAAGTCACATGTGACCTGTTTACAGGAAAGGAGGATTTTGACATACAAGAATTAAGCCCCCCCCTGACTCATGTCCAAAGGAAGATTATCCTGCCAGATTCAGATTTGGGCATTACTGGGATAAAAAAAACAAACTGAAATGTTGTGAACTCAGAAATCTGGTTTGACACCCTTCAGCCACATGCTAATTGATCTCTTCATAAAATAAAGTGACTTTTTAGGCCCAAAAAACCCAAGGTTTGCCTTGGTCCTGAACTCCCTCCTCTGGCACAAACTTAACAAAAGCATGAAAGAACCATTTGAAGTGCTCTGTCCCTGCTCTGTCCCTTCAGCCTCTCATTCCTGAAAGATCTCCTGGATGGAAAAAACCAACTCCAGGCCTTAAACAGCATCAAAATAACCCCATCCTGTTACACAACTGCAGGTTTTCGAGCAGAGAACATCATGTCTTCCAAAAAAACACCGGGGAAAAAGGGCATGAGCAATAACAACCAGCTATAAAAATGGAAGGGATTAAGTGAAGGTGGCAGTCTTTAGCAACACTGCCTTTCCAGAACTGCAAAATGAGCATTTAACTCAGAAAAAAAAGTCCTGATTACATGGAGAAGTCCCAGCCTTGTCCCTGAGGTCCCACCACCGACAGCCCAGGAGCTGATGGGCACAGCCCCAGGCTCTGTGCCCAACCCTGTGCCCAAGGGCTGGATGACAATCACCAGGCTGGCATCAGATGGGAAGTGACTTGTAGCACCAGCGCAGGAACTTCGATTTCACAGGCTGAGAAGTTTGTCTCAAACCATTTACCGCACATTTTCGGGGCGAGTTCCGCAGTTCTTAGCGAGATTAATCCCCATCAGCGGCGGAGCCAGCAGAGCAAAACTGAAAATCCTTCTGTCAGTGCAAATAAAATTCTCATTTCACTTTGCCAGCGACTCTTCCCGTGCAAGGAAAGCGATGCTAATTCCAGGGCAGGAATTAAGCACATAATGCAAAACAATTAGAGAGGGGCCAGCAGTCAGAAAGTTTAATTAGCTGCTCGTTTATGGCACTCTCTGCAGCAGGTTTTGTGTCTTTCAGAGGGGACAAGGATTCCTCCCTGGTGAGGCCCTGGCACAGGTTGCTCAGAGAAGCTGTGGCTGCCCCTGGATCCCTGGAAGTGTCCAAGGCCAGGTTGGATGAGGCTTGGAGCAACCTGGGCTGGTGGAAGGTGTCCCTGCCCATGGCAGGGGGTGGCACTGGATCATCTTTAGGTCCCTTTCCAACCCAAACCATCCTGGGATTCTGTAATAAACTAACGCTGGGGAAAGTATTTCAACACAAGCTGCAATAGCAGCAGCCTGGCTGTTAAAGAGCCTCTTTAAAACCAGAGATTATTTGGAAAGTCCTGTTTCCACCTGGCAAACACAAACCACCAGCCCCATTCGTAACATCCCTCAAACCTTCACACCCACACCAGTGGCTGCTGAGGCTCCTTTCCCGAGGCTGGATGAGCAGTTTGGGAGAGCTCTGTGGCCCCTCCAACAGGAAAACACTTCAAATCCAGGGATCTGCTGATGGTTTATCCTTTCCAACATCTGCTTGGAGCACTGGGATCAATTCGGTGATGTCTGTGATCAATGCCAAGCATCTACTGCCACATCAAACCGACCCCTAAATAAAATCAGGATGTGCTTATTCTCTCCAAATAATCATTTTATCTCTAGCAGCACCGAGTTCTCCTTCAGCCCACTGAGATCCCTAATTCTATTGCATTTTCCCTGACACCATTTCATTGTCACATAATTTATAGATGAGTTAGTATTTTAATTAGAAAAAGGCTTTTCTTTAGATGAAAAGGCATTGATAAAAGGAAATTATCACGGATTAGCAAAAGGCGTCGGCTCTGAAATTCAGTTTGAGCTCTGGCAGGAATGTTTCGCCAACAAGGGGTTATTAACACCTTAATGAGCTGATTGAACACAAGGCTTTATTCTGGCAGATCTGAATTCACACCATGGTTTGACTACAATATATACACACCTACACCTTTTTCTGTGCTTACACCCCTAAAGATACACATAAATTTATCTATGGACAAGGAAAATGCTGGAGGAAACAACTCTTTTCCCATGCCATGGATGATGGATTGATCCATCCCAGGGTTCCTGGGAGCCTCTCCATGCACCAGCTCCTTACATGCATCAGGAAAATGGCCATTACTGCCCAAACTGCATTAACACAAACCACTGCAGCTTTTTACTCACAGGCTTTATCCCTACAAAATACAAACAAGGTGTGGCCACAGTGCCTGGATTCTCCTGATTCCCTCCTGCAGCAGGTCCTGGGCAGAGTCTGGCCAAGGAGCTCGGCTCAAAATCAGCTTTTCTGCCCAGCTTTGTCCTCTCTGCACCTCACACAGCTGAATTTCAGCTCTACTTTGAACCTCCTTCTGCCACAAGAGGAAGAACTAATGAAATTTGCTCTCTTTGCGTAAAAATATTAGGTTTATCACCACTAAAGAGGTGAAAAAGTGCCAGGAATGACGGACACGAGGGATCCTCTCTGCATTTCACAGAATGGTTTGGGTGGGAAGGGACCTTAAAGAGTTCCTTCAAGTTCCACCCCCTGCCATGTTGGAGTTGGGGGATTTTATCACACATTCATCCCTTGTGACTGCTGAATATTGTATTTTTAATTATGGTAATTATCAGAGGATGTTGAGGGGTCAGAACGGACCCTAAAGATCACCCAGTCCCACCCACTGCCACGGGAAGGGACATCTCCACTAGAGCAGGTTGGCCTTATCCAACCCGCCTTTGAACGATTCCAGGGGTGGGTCAGCCACAACCTCCACACCCCTCTCGATAAC